GGTTTGGGGGGGGGGGGGGTGTATAAGAAAAAAAAAACGTTTTGAAAATATGAGCTACAGCAGGGGCTTCTAATTGGAAATAATATTTTGTTTATGAGTAGAATGGAAGTGGGGGGGGGGACGGTGCTTATAAGCAGCCATTTACAATATTTAACTCTATTATGTTGCACATGACATAATTCTTTTCAGCTTTATTTCTGTGTTTCATTGCTACAATTTATTTTATTTATTTCATGGATTGGCCTACATACTTTACATGTATGTTAGAGGTTGCAGTGACCCTAGCCTTTCCAAAAAAGCACAAGAAGGGAACAAACTTCGAGCGAGTGCGAAAAATAAGGAGCAGGGGGAGAGGGGCAGGAGAGCATCAAGGAAACGCCTGTATTCAATCCCAGACATTTTACCGAACGCCCCCAAACATACCACACCCACTTGGGGTGCCAACAGTCACATGAGAACCAATGATCATTAACTTCCAGTAAATCATTTTTGACAAGTGCCCGTCATGAGCTTGATAGAGTCCACTAAAAGCAAATAGTGCACGTAAATATGCTTTCTTTCTCTGATGATATGGCTTCGGACAATTGCCACATCTGTCATTGAGTTAAAGAAAAACAAAGTTTGGAAACTGGAGATACGCAAGCTCGATCAAATTGATGCAAGAAAGGGACGTCTCTGCATAAATGTATAGCTTTCTCGAAGTAAAGCTACAGCAGACTCTGAGGAGAAACTGTACAAAGATATGATATCTGTGATATTGTGATGAGAAGCAACGTACTGACTTGACAGTTCTACTCAATCAAGCTTGCTTGATCTCTCCGCCTGGTAAAGGAAAGAAAATGGCTGCTACGCAGCTGGCTACAGCAAACCCTGAAAGTTGTCAGGCCCTCCATTTAAGTAGCATTAATAGGATATGCCACCTAAATCTGAAAGACTTGCAGTTTTTGGACACTACCATAGCAAGAAATATGTGAGTAACCATTAGGAAAATTTGTAGTGAAATCGAGTGAAATCCTTTGTTTATTTCTTTTCTTTAAGACTGGAGGGTGGAGCNTCATTTTTGACAAGTGCCCGTCATGAGCTTGATAGAGTCCACTAAAAGCAAATAGTGCACGTAAATATGCGCCTGTCATTGAGTTGAAAAAAAAAAACAAAGTTTGAAAAATGGAGATACGCAAGCTTGATCAAATTGATGCAAGAAATGGACGTCTCTGTATAAATGCATAGCTTTCTCGAAGGAAATCTACGACAGACTCTGAGGAGAAACTGTACAAAGATATGATATCCGTGATATTGTGATAAGAAGCAACGTACTGACTTGACAGTTCTACTGAATCAAGCTTGCTTGATCTCTCCACCTGGAAAAGGAAAGAAAATGGCTGCTACGAAGCTGGCTACAGCGAACCCTGAAAGTTGTCAGGCCCTCCATTTAAGTAGCATTAATAGGATATGCCTCCTAAATCTAAAAGACTTGGAGTTTTTGGACACTACCATAGCAAGAAATATGTGAGTAACCATTAGCAAAATTTGTAGTGAAATTGAGTAAAATCCTTTGTTTATTTCTTTTCTTCAAGGCTGGAGGGTGGAGCAAGGACACCAAGTGTTGAAGTCTACCCATCAAGTTAAACTTGCATTTTTTGAAATATTCTGTCCTGGCAATCTTTGGAATTTGGTGTATGATAATAATATTTAACACATAACTTATAAATAAGTGGAAATGACAAAACGTGATGTAGATAGAAGAAACTGTTTTATACCTGACAATGTTCCTCCATTAGGACATACTGTTTTTACAGTTTTTAATGACAATTGTTAAGGGAAAATAGTTGGGCTGTTTTATAATTTACCCGTAATAAATAAGGAGTGCTTTGTGTTATATGTAACAGGGCTGCAATACATTGAAAGGGAAGCTTGAAATCTAGTTAGGAAATACAATTAAAGGGATCAGAGGATTACAAGAAGATTAAGTCTTGTATAATTCACACGAATTCTGAAAATGTCTAAGACCTACATGTAACCTGTTCAAGTTTTACTATTATTAAAGCAGAGTTTATTTTTGTAGCAGGACACATTCTTAACCACTTAGGCTTTTTACAGGCACCCATTTCAAACAGTGTACTACTACCAAACACTTTTTGTTTTGGTGGCAGAGCTATGAGACTACAAGGAATTCCAAATGTCATTACTCCCCATTCTCCTTGCAGCTTCACTGCTCTTATGAAAGGCTGTACTCTACTGCCAAAACACAAAGTCATTAACACTCATGCACAAAATCCCACGAGCTAGACAGGCTTGGATTGGGAAGGCCAAAGGACCCAGTCCTGAAGTGACCAAAGGACCTAACGTGCTACATTTTGAAAGAGAGGGGCTAAGTTGTCATTTTACATTTATTTTACAATTTGCAGTGCCGTGTAGTCTTTGTAGAACTCAGTGGAAGCTACAACTTAAAGGAAGCTGAACTTTGAGAAACCCTGTAATTTTGGAGCCAGTTGCCACAGCAGTGGTATGTAAAATTGTTGTGACATTTGATCAGACATTAACTGAACGAGGGTTTGCTGCTTAAAAATGGGGAAAAAAGTGTTGGCAGTGTAGACTTCCATTAATTCAGCTTCCTTTTGTTATTAGGAATGGTAGTAATTTAAGTTAACTGCCTATAATGAAGCAAAATATAGTGTATGAAATGTACGGGTTATGAGATATCTTGTTTCTGACTGACGAATGGATTGCTTATTACAGTTAAGATTACTGTTGTGTGTGGCATAAAAGGGTATTTATTAAACACCTCTCATTGAATTGTGCTTTTAATGAAAGTAAGTTGGGTGAAGCATCAGTTGTGTGAGACAAGGCAAGAACTTGACTGCAGGAGTGACTTTTTAAGTGAGTTTTTAGGGTACACCATGTATTGAATTCAGGAATTAAATATACTCAGAAACTGAAATACAGTGTTCAATATTATTTAATTTGGATAATAAATTACTGATTTCTTTGACACTTTGGTAGTGGTGGTTGTTTCAAAATATTCAGTGAATGCATATCATATATCTCCTTTCATCCCATGCTTTGAAGAATACTTTATTTATTTGTGCAACCAATAGGCCTTTTTGCAACAGATGGTCACGTGATGCACTTTTCAAGAACTCACTGATTTAGACATTGGTAATGCATAATGTTATCAGAAATGGAAAGACCACTTACAATTAAGCTTAGAGGCAAAGTTTCAGATTTATATCGTTCAAGAAGGAGTTTTTATGGACGTCAGAAATTGGAAGAGTTTGTGTTGAAAGAAGACGCTTTGTTCTCCAGTCACGCTCCAGTGGTTTTCTACGCAAATCCGTGTAATTCTGCAAGTGTTCAAACTGCCTAGAATTTTCCGTTACTCCTAATATTTCATTTAGATAAGGAGTAGCCCAGCGCGTGGAGAGGATTGGAGAGGACTCGTCCATCAACACCCTTGTATTTTTAACAAAAATTTCTCCTTTTTCCAATGTGGCGTGCGACGTCAAGTGGACAAGTTTCTGGGTTAGATTTCGGGCGTTAGCTCTTTTGACTCTTGGACAAATGTTAATACTCATTGCCTACATTTGGCGCGAAAATATATGCCCGGATATTTGTCCAAGGACATTCAGTCTGTTCCGAGAAGCGAACAGTCCCCAAGAGCGTAGCTCGAGGAAAACTGCCAGATATGTTCGCGCCAAATGGAGGCTATTGTGTTTATTATCTTTCAAGTATTTTTCGCAGCACGCACAGTTTCGAAAATTGGGGATATTTGGTCACGTGACGGGTTTAGAACAATCGCGTGCGAGCGATAATATTTCATGGATATTTACCAAACTCTCTATACGTACAGATCATACAAAACCTTAATTTTCAATCACTCTTTTCATTTTTCATTTGAAACTGACGATTTCAAAAAGTTAAGAAGCACAAAACCGCACTTACACCACTGCATCTCAACACAATGAACTCCTTAAACTTCTACTCATTTTTATGAGCAAAAATGCACTTTAAATTTCACCGCGCAGTTTTAAGCTTCCCCAAGCTTCTTGTTCTTTCTAAGATACCGAATCCGTACAAATATTGCAATTCTTAAAGAGTCAACGTGAGTCAATATATATCCGGTGCCACGCCAACTTTTCATCGGATTTTTGTGCAAGCGTTACCGTTACCCAGGACACCGGAGACAAAAACTAAAGCACACTTCATAACCAGTTTGGACTGATCTTTGAGTTCATATTGAATAGAACGAGATTTTTCCTTCTTGCATTTGGCGTTAGCCTTTCTTGTCATTATTCCTTACTTTCTGGCCGCCAAAGCAAGAAAGAAGATACTTATTGTAAAGAGTCACGCAGTGTTGCACGTTGAAAGACTACCGGAAATGATCATCGGCTTACCGGAAATAGAACGTAGGATCTGACTCGTACGCATGCCCACACGCTGTCACTTTTCACTGGTGTTCGATGGAAAGTTTTCAAAATGGACGTTGACCGGCGGTAACGTTGATTTTCTTGACTCTTCTCCCACGATGTGGGTCTTTAAATGTTTCCTTAGCTGTATATATCTTCTATTGTACTTAAAATCAGTCATAGCTATTTTATTTCAACAAATTAGAAGTTATTTCTCAACCAGTTTACGAACGTGTACACATGGAAAAATTAGGGACGACTCGAGAAACCTCACCAAGCTTCCACGACACATCAGCTTCGTGGTTCTGGAGTCTGACATTAGTTTTGTAGACCTTGCTCAGCTTATTGTCTGGTCAATGGCTATGGGAATTCCATATATTAGTGTCTACGATAGAGAAGGTAAGACGTTTGCATTCACCTAAAATCCCTGCCTAAAAATGATGGAATTCGTGTGTGTTTAGAGTAATGATGCATTTCTGCAGTGAAGTGTGAACTAAACAAATACGTCTTGTTCTTTAGGTGTACTAAAGAAGAATGTTGCAGCTTTCTCAAGCGAAATTATTCGGAAGCAAAAGGAAGTTTTTCTAGAGGAATCCAGCAAATACACATTTGTATTGAGAACAAAGGACGTTAAATTTGATTGTGAGATGTTGGGTAAGTTCGAGTTGTAAAGCTGTGCATCACCCTAAATTTAAATTTTAGCAACATTTTCCTTGATACTCTGATATTTTTTCTTATTGCGTATTACAGAATTGACTCTCCTTGGGGTTCCAAGTCCAAGGGTAATGCTGCTCAAATTACACTGAACTTTGTGAGCTTTATTAACGTGATATGATGCTCAATTTCCAAAACACAAAACCCAATTAATGAAGCATTTCCGTTTCTGCGTAATACTATTCGACCGCATCAGAGTACGTTAATTGCATGTCGTGACAGTGGCTTGGCAGATTTTTTTTTTTGCAAAATACATGTAAATTACGGGACGTAATTGCTTATGATCAAAGTTCATGTCAATTGACTTTGAGTTTGAGGAGCTGATTTGCTCAACTGCTAGTCAAGTGAGCATTAGATGCACAAGTAGGTTGTATAATGCAAAGCATGTGACACTAAATACTAAAATAACAAAGGGTCACATAAGTCACTTATATTTTGCCACCATCAAGGTTATGTTTGGTTGTACTCTGGTCTAACGTTTTAAAACAGTCTTTCTCTTCACTATTGCATTGTGAGGCTTGCTCATATATGTTTAATCTATTTTATTCCTCATCACTGTTAATCTACATGACTTATCCTAGAGGGTCCCTGATTTTCCTGTTTTTCCTGTTCTACGTCAGACCACAAGTTTGGGATTTCCTATTATTATTTAATCTAGGGGTATGTTGCCAGATTTTCTTAAGCATGTTAAAAGGTTGAGATGCAGCCCCCTTAATCTCACAAGTTTTGTCCTAGCTTCAGAGTTTTGATCACTTTTCTCTATCTTTCCTCCGAACCCTTTAATTTCTTGTGAAAAAAATTCCCATTTTTGATGAATTGCTCTATTTTCGTGACCTACATTGTCACCATGGGTTTTTTGTCCTCTTGCATCAGAGCTCAGTTGTTCCAGGGGCAGAGTACTTTACCCAGTAAATAAATCCCTGTTCATTTGCATGTCAGGTTAGAGATTTATCTGCTGGATAAACTTATCCCCAATACCTGAGGGCCAAATGGTCAAATTACCTGCTGGGTTAGTCATGTCAAATCACCAGATAGAAGAGGCAGTTTTTAGCCATTAATTTCACATGGTCTCAGGAGAGTCTGAGAAAACCCTCACAGTCATTGCAATGAACAGTTTTTCCATCATTGCATATACTCCATCACTCTGCATCTACATGTGGTTTGGTTCCTTGGTGGTCTAAAGATTTGCCCAAATAACAAGTGATAATGNACAAGTAGGTTGTATAATGCAAAGCATGTGACACTAAATACTAAAATAACAAAGGGTCACATAAGTCACTCATATTTTGCCACCATAAAGGTTATGTTTGGTTGTACTATAGTCTAACGTTTTATAAAGTCTTTCTCTTCACTATTGCATTGTGAGGTTTGCTCATATATGTTTAATCTATTTTATTCCTCTTCACTGTTAATCTGCATGGCTTATCCTGGTGGGTCCCTGATTTTCCTGTTTTTCCTGTTCTACGTCAGACCACAAGTTTGGGATTTCCTATTATTATTTGATCTAGGGGTATGTTGCCAGATTTTCTTAAGCATGTTAAAAGGTTGAGATAGCCCCCTTAATCTCAGAAGTTTTGTCCTAGCTTCAGAGTTTTGATCACTCTTCTCTGTCTTTTCTCTGAACCCTTTAATTTCTTGTGAAAAAAATTTTCGTTTTTGATGAATTGCTCTATTTTCGGGACCTACATTGTCACCATGGGGTTTTCGTCCTCTTGTATCAGAGCTCAGTTGTTCCAGGGGCAGGGTACTTTGCCCAGTAAATAAATTCCTGTCCATTTGCGTGTCAGGGTAGAGATTTATCTGCTGGATAAACTTATCCCCAATACCTGAGGGCCAAATGGTCAAATTACCTGCTGGGTTTGTCATGTCAAATCACCAGATAGAAGAGGCAGTTTTTAGCTGTTATTTTCACATTGTCTCAGGAGAGTCTTAGAAAACCCTCACACTCACTGCAATGAACAGTTTTTCCATCATTGCATATACTCCATCACTCTGCATCTACATGTGCTTTGATTCCTTGGTGGTCCAAAGATTTGCCCAAATAACAAGTGATAATGCTTTGCTGCAGAAATTGTAACAAACAAAATCAGATTTCAAGTTGGTCAACAGTCAGATGCTCTGTCAATCTACATGTACTGCTGCAAAGCTCCAAAAGTACCGTCTAATAAAACTTCACAGTTCTCAGCAAGAGTCCAAATGTAGTGCTCCTGCAAAGATAATGACATTCTTACTAAAAGTTATAAGCAGATGGATCTGTCATCATCATCATCATTTCTGTACACCCCCTCTCCCCAGGTAGGGGAACATAGGGCATCCAGCAGTACCCTCTGAGGCTATGGTGGTGGTTATTTTGCTGTGTTAATATCAATATTTTCTGTCTTATTGTTAGCCCCAACACAGGTGTGCATCAGCTTGCTGTCAGAGCACGATGGTAAAGGAGACATCGTAGAGGCTGCCAGAGAGTTTTGTTGGGGAATCCAAGCAAAGCAGAGAGCACTGAAAGAAATGGAACCAGATTTATTAAACAGTCTTTTGAAAGGTAACTAGCAGAAATTGTCATGATATTCCTTAATAGTTTAGGTACATGTAACTGCTACCTGTGTTGCAACTTACCTTGAGGTAAGGTAAGGTAAAGTCTGCATATGAACCAAGTGCTCCATCAGGCCTTAGTTTATCTCGGTTTCTGTAGCATGAAATGACTAGGAGTATTTCTGCTCCCCCCTGGATGAGATTCTTGTCCATCTCAGGGTTATCCCCAGCATTAAATTTACTGGTACCCTTATATACACCTAGGTTGAGAGGGGCACTCTGAGAGCAACACTGTGAGTGCAAAGTTTCTTGCCCAAGAACACAACCCAATGTCCCTTGTCAGGGTTTGAACCCAGATTGCTCAATCCGGAGATGAGCGCCCTAACCATGTGGCCACCATGCCTCCCACTGCTCACTTTGATCTCTGTTGTTTATTATAATCTATTTCACAGACTTGTCCTATTATAAAATGTATTGATATCAAAAGGTGGCTTGTTATGACAAATAATTTGAAGTTCCAAATTGTTTTTGGAAGGTTTTTACATCTTAAGAATTTTCTAAGGTTTTTGTCGTCACATCAGATGACGAAAACCTTAGAAAACGTCTATCACCGTTTGCAACACTGAAATTAACTTGTTTACTACGAAGCTGTATTTCAACTTGGCTTGTAGGACACAGATGATTACTATGTGTCAGTAGTTGGTTGAATAATTTTTTGTGCTCACGTAGTTTGTTATTCTTAAATGCTTTTATTTATTTGTCACCATTATCTTTTTGTTAAACAACCAGNTTGCTGTGTTAATATCTATAGTTTCTCTCTTATTGTTAGCCCCAACACAGGTGTGCATCAGCTTGCTGTCGGAGCATGATGGTAAAGGAGACATCGTAGAGGCCGCCAGAGAGTTTTGTTGGGGAATCCAAACAAAGCAGAGAGCACTGAAAGAAATGGAACCAGATCTATTAAACAGCCTTTTGAAAGGTAACTGACAGAAATTTTCATGATGTTCCCTAATAGTTTAGGTACATGTAGCTGTAGCCTGTGATGCAACTTACCTTTAGGTAAGGTAAGGTAAAATCTGCATATGAACCAAGTGCTCCATCAGGCCTTAGTTTATCTCAGTTTCCATAGCATGAAATGACTAGGAGTATTTCTACTCCCCCCTGGATGAGATGCTAGTCCATCTCAGGGTTATCCCCAGCATTAAATTTATTGGTACCCTTATATACACCTAGGTTGAGAAGGGCACTCTGAGAATGACACTGTGAGAGTAAAGTTTCTTGCCCAAGAACACATTTCAACCCTATGTCCCTTGCCAGGGTTTGAACCCAGATCACTCAATCCAGAGATGAGCGCACTAACCATGTGGCCACCACGCCTCCCACAGCTCACTTTGATCTCTGTTGTTTATTATAATCTATTTCACAGACTTGTCCCATTATGACATGTATTGATATCAGAAGGTGGCTTGTTATGACAAATAATTTGAAGTTCCAAAATCTTTTTGGAAGGTTGTTACATGTACATCTTAAGAATTTTCTACGGTCTTTGTTGTCCCATCAGATGACGAAAACCTTAGAAAATGTCTATCACCATTTGCAACACTGGAATTACTGGTAGCTTGTTTAATATGAAGCCGTATTTCACCTCAGCTTGCAGGACACAGATGATTACTATGTGTCAGTAGTTGGTTGAATAATTTTTTGTGCTCACGTAGTTTGTTATTCATAAATGCTTTTATTTATTTGTTACCATTATCTTTTTGTTAAACAACCGGGGCCACCATGAAACCTTCTTTCAGACCTCAGTGTTTATTATTTAACAACTTTCCCCTTTTAACAAGAGCAAGAATCAAGTGAATCTTGTTCTTAAAAAATGTACAATTCCTTCATTGCAGCTACTTATGGCATACCAGACCCTGAACTTGCCTTCAAGTTTGGCGATATAAAAATGATAATGGGATACCTACCATGGCAAACCAGACTCACAGAATTTCTGTAAGTTATCCTTTAGATTATCGTAAGGAATATGGGTTGAGGATTGAGTTTTAAATAAAGTTTTGGATAAATCCTCTCCAATCATCTGTTTCAAATGAAATAATACTACTAGTCAGTGCTAAATGGATGTTTTGACAAGGTCACACTTTTCCAATTTTTTCACTCAAACTTAAAATAAGCCTTGCCACTTGATTTGTCATGTGGGACTTAGTAAAAATGCAAAGGTTTCATAAGAATCCATCGCAAACTCTTGAAA